TATCAGGCATGCGCAGTTCGATTTAATAGAATTATCCCGCTCGGCGATTAGCGAGCTATTTCCGCCTGTGTGAACAACGACACAATAAGCTCACTATTAGCTCCGCTATTAGCGGGCTTAGCAGCCCGGTTTTTCTTGTGTGTGAACGCGCCTATTATCTCCGCTATTAGCGGGCTAAGCAGCGCGGTTTTTTCTTGTGTGTGAACGCGCCTAATGCGTCTAGACATGTACGTTTGCAGCGTATTGTGCAACCCTGGCCGTATGTAAAATGAACGCGGCGCATCATGAATATAATTTTTTTTATAGAGGTTGGACACCGAACAACCACGGAAGCAATTTGTAGTTGCCCAAGAGAAAATCCAGTCGTCACGGAGCCCTGGATACTAATTAGCGCGTCATTGTCGGTGACTGCTGCGCACTGGCGCTAAACTGAATTCATTGTAAGAGTTGACATAACGTTCCTTAATAAAAAAAATTCTTTATAGCTGCGTTCACACGAGGATAAAAGTTGCGTTCACACGCTAAAATATACGCGGCTTGCTTAGCCATGGCTTGCTTAGCCGCTGGCCAACTAAGCCGCGTATATTCGGCACCACGCTGGCCGCGTATTGTCTGTACATTCGAATTGTCTGTACATTCGAATTGCGAAACAGTAGCGTGCTCACCTAGACTGGTACCCGTTCGCTGCACGACGTTAGTGTAGCGTGTGGAACTGTCGACCGGGTACCAGTCTATATTATTCCTGGCTAGCTAAGCCTCGAATCTCGTGTAACTCGTGTGAACGCATTTTAACCGAACTTAGCACCAACTAAGTACGGTACCAGCTAGGCCGTGTATACGTGTGAACGCAGCTTATGTCTGCTTTAGTTAAGGAATGTTATGTGAACTCTTACAATGAATTCAGTTTAGCGCCAGCGCGCAGCAGTCACCGACAATGACGCGCTAATTAGTATCTATCAAAGATTCTAGAGTGCCGTAGGCTCTACGATTCACTCTACGATCGCTCACACTACCGTTCACTACTCACACTACTCACACGTTACTACTCATACTACTACTCGTTACTACTCATACTACTCACACTACTCACACTACCGTTCACTCTACGATCTTTGGTATCTATGGTATTTCTTTAGAACGCGCACGCATGAATACGAACAATAGAACACATTATGCATGATGTTTTTATACTGCTCGGGATGTTCTAAATAGATCACTCTGTATTAGGCACTGATGAGTATGGAACCTTCGCTCTATACAAAACAGTTCTGCATGCAATAAACAGCTAGAGTCAAAGTTGTCAGCTCACTACCGTGACTCAAAACAGAGTCACTACCGTGTCCTACCGTCTATATTTGCTCTACTCATGGTAGTATTGAGCACTCTCGACACACGAGTTCATAAACAACAATTGGAATCTATATATATATATATATATTACACACACACATCTAAATATATATATATCATAGTATCAGTCGCCAGTAGTGACAACAATAGTTCAACTAAGCTAAAAACGGATTATCCACAGTTGTATCCCAGCTAACAAAGTTATGTTTCTTGAATGTTATAGGAATGTTTCTTTTAGGTTAGCAGAACATTATTCAGTAACGTTCTAATAACGTTTTTAGGAAAGTTTTCCTGACATTCTGAGAACGTTTTTACCAACATTCACATAATATTGATCAACCTCCAAAAATGACATATTAACGGCAGCCACACTACGTATGCGCTGCAGACTTATCTTAATGTCTCGAGTATGGCAGTCCACCACACACACACACACACAAGTACAAACAGTATCCCTATCACTATCCCTAACCTTAACACAAACTATAAAGCGACTCGAGTCGTATATATATATAGCGTCTAAAAACAGATAAATTAATCTATGGTGTATAACCTTTGGCTTTCAATAACAAACTGAACTGAACTGTTTCTGAACTGACAATCAATCCCAAACAACTAGTGTAGGCTAGCTAATTAATTACTTAGGCTGGAGATTAATTAATAGCTAGTGAATTACATTA